CAGTGGATGTAGGGATGAGGCAGTGCCCCATAAGCAGTGTTCAGTGGATGTAGGGATGAGGCGGTGCCCCATAAGCAGCGTTCAGTGGATGTAGGGATGAGGCATGAAAATGGTGCACAAACTCGGCACTTGTCTCAACACAATCATTCTGCAGCAGCTGATTGGGAAACTGAGCCTGCTGGGCCTGAACACCTGTCTTTGAAATTGGATCTTGGACTTCCTGACTGATCCAGTCTGGATCAGTAGCAGCACTTCCAGCACCACCACACTGAGCACTGGACTCCCCAGTGCTGTGTGCTGAGTCTAGTGCTGTTCACGCTACTGACTCATGACTGTGCAGCAATGCACAGTTTGAATCACATCGACTGTGGGGGGTCTCATCAGTAAAACTGATGAGTCAGCATGCAGAGAGGAAGTGCAACGACTATCAGACTGGTGCAGAGTTAACAACCTACCTCTGAATGCAAACAAAACAAAAGAGATGGTTGTTGACTTCAGAAGAACACAGCGTGGCCACTCTCCGCTGCACATCAATGGCTCATCCGTGGAGATAGTCGAGAGTACCAAATTCCTTGGTGTCCCTCTGGCGGAGAACCTCTCCTGGTCCCTCAACACCAGCTTCATAGTGAAAAAAGTGCAGCGGCATCTCTACTTTTCATGGAAGCTGAGAAAAGCCCACCTCCCATCACCCATCCTTACAACATTCTGCAGGGGAACCACTGCGAGCATCCTGAGCAGCTGCATCGTGGTCTGCTTTGGGAACTGCGAGCATCCTGAGCAGCTGCATCGTGGTCTGCTTTGGGAACTGCGAGCATCCTGAGCAGCTGCATCGTGGTCTGCTTTGGGAACTGCGTCGCCTCAGATCGCAAGACCCTACAGTGGATAGCGAGGACAGCTGAGAAGATCATTGGAGTCTCTCTCCCCTCCATCACGGACATTCACACCCCACACTGCATCCACAAATCCACCAACATTGTAGATGACTCCACCCACCCCTCACATCTTTTCACCCTCTTAGCATCTGGAAAAAGGTACCGGAGCATCCAGGCCTTTACAACCAGACCCAGAAACAGTTTCTTCCCCCATGCTGTCAAACTACTGAACTCTCAGGGACTGATCTGATACCACAGACACACACACACACACACAACATGCACACACACACACACACAACATGCACACACACACAACACACAACATGCACACACACGCAACATGCACACACACAGACACACACACAAACACAACATGCACACACACACACAACACACAACATGCACACACACAGACACACACACACAACACACAACATGCACACACACACACACACAACATGCACACACACACACACACACAAAATCATTAATACTATTAATTGTAAATGATTATTTATTATTACTGTTTATTACCTCAATGAATAACGACAGTGTTTTCTGCCTGTATTTCTCCTATGGTCTCTCCAGGTAAAAATGTTTACAATCACTATTTACTTTATTGGTACCTCATTATTGCACAACCAAACCTTATCAGTATTGGGTTCACTGTGCTGTTTCTACTTCTCGGTGTCAGCTGTCCTGTTTTTTTGCACCGTCCTGCAATGTTTGCACATAATGCACACTGTGCACTCTATGTCGTTAGGTTATGTGTTAGTCTTGTGTTCATTTATGTAGCACCTTGGTCCGAGAGAAACGCTGTTCTGTTTTTAATTGTGTAGTGTAGTGTACTGTAAGTGTGTATGGTTAAAAATGACATTAAAGACCGACATGACTTGACTTGAGTTGACTTACTGGGAAGGTGATGGATATGTATGCATCAGCTTTTCTATTATCCATCCAGGGTCGCAGCTCTCTGGTTCTTAATAGTATTAATGGTATAATGGCAAGACAATGTAAGTGAAGTACATGAATTCATGTGTCTGACAGTGTTTATTTAGGATTTCTAACAATATGTGAAAGGACATTACACTGGAACTCAAACTGCTCTTTGTCATATTAAAATGTGATGCAAAACTTTACAGGAACAGGCATCTTAACTGTCTTCTTCCTCATTTGTAGGACTTCTGTTACCACACACTTATAAAGAGGAACCCAAGAAGTTGACTCAGTATAGTAGCTAGTTTTTAGATGTAACATAATACATGTACGATCATCTCTGACTTTAATCCTAAGCTACAAAAGGTTTGCCTTGAATTTGTCTTGAATTGCAGGTAAGATGCTGTTTTCATTAATGCTTTTTCTGTGTTACTCTTGGATGTAAATGCAGGCCTATACACCCCGGAATAGAAACAGAAGTTTGCCTTTGGAGTTTTGCTTTAATCTCTTTCAATTTCTTAATAGATGATGGCACGCAACAGTACAAGTTCCAGTGGACTGACAACTGTTACTGAAGGCCAAGACAACGGACAAAGACCAGAAACTGTTGCACTGATAGTGTGTCTGCCTCTGCTTGTGTTTGTAGTTTTAGTTCCATTGCTGGGATATATTATCCATCGTAAAATCAAACACATTTCACGCTCAGAACAACTCCCTAAAATGGAGGGAGCGTCTCAGCAAACACCCGACTCACATTACATTGCTGCTCCGGCTCTGGTAGCTCCATCTACTGTACAAAATCCCATCTATGAGAATGTCCACAGAGGATTTCAAGATGTTTCTCCCAAAAGGCAATATAATCCAGCCACTTCAGTAATGCCAAGGTATGTGCATTTTTACACAAACATTAACTTTGCATTTATATATTTTCGTTCACCTTCAGTAAGCACCTTTTTATCTTGGGCTTCCTGGAAATTGTATTTATACGGGTCACTAAAACGAGTAACTTGTCTTTTTAAATTTTCCAATAATACCTTTCAAATTATTATATGCGCACACAAGCAACTAGTAAGCGATAACGTTAGAAAGCATTATCATGATTTATCTTTGCAGTGGGCATGATGACGATCCGTACATGAACTGTGATGTCGCAGATGAAGCAGTTTACAGCAATGATCCATCTTTCCAATGTGAATACAACATCGAAGACGACTACGTTGTTCCTGACACTTTATAGGTGTCACATAATTATATGTTTGTAGCTGAACATATATTTAGGCCTACATCAGGTTTCTAAAAAGGAATACAACACTGCATTTTGTCATTTCTTGGGAAAAAGTGGCTGTAGACCATCTACGAAATTTCCCTTCATCGTCTTGTCTTGTCTCATCTCATCTCAGTTCCCATCTCTGATCACTTATCCAGTACCGGGTCGGGGGAATATAGAAGTATTATTATATATTTTTCCCTTTTTGTGGATCGGTAAAGACAACGTGCCAAATGAATGTTTTTAAGTTTTGCTTTCCTTCCCGAAACACTCAGCAATTTCTTTCAATTTTAAGGAACTAAAATCTGTGTTTTGCACGTGCCAGCGTTCTTCCATGTCATTTAATGAGCTGTTTTTTTTTATAAGTGCTTCGTTGTCACACTGGATTTACAGGACTGCAAAAAAAAATATCTGAAACTGCCCATATAGTAATATTATTGGGACAACTATATATCCAGCGTCAATAAATGACTGTAAAACCCAGGAAAGAATTCTTCCTGCTGTTTTGCTATTCGAAGTTTTGATTCAAGTTTTCAAATTTAGTTTATTATAAAACACCTTTTCAAAAAGCGTGCTTCTGTACAAAATTATGAAAGAGAAAGCTGCGGTGTTGTGGTGAATAAGACATTTCAACAACATGCAATTGTGTGGTTTTTAACTACAGCAAATAATCGAGTCCATTAGACTATGGTTTGATTTGAATGTGGGAGGGGTTTTGCAGCATGTAAAACGTTTTATTTACTTTCGGTTCGTTCATAAACACGCTGTAGCCCTCTTTGGCTTCTTTGATGAGCTGAAGGCGCCATCTTGTGGACTCTTACAAATGAACCCATTCCCTGCTTCAGCATGCAGTTTGTGACGTGTTGTGTGTTGAAGATCCAGCCCACTGTCTGGTACTAACCTTGTACGAGGCTTTTCATCTTTTTTATAGATGTTGTCTGTGCACACACGTGTATTCCTTACATCATTAACTATAAACTCCCTCTGCAGGCTCAGTAAATTGGTAAAAGGATCCTGTCTCCTGGCTGGAGATCGTCACCAAAAACTTCTTTCTACTTACAGTTTTTCTCAGTTGCTTTGGTGTATTTCTCACAACAGACTTAACATTTGCATAACAGCGAGTGCAATTCTCAAAACACAAAATATCATGGATGACCAGCAAAAGAAGGTATCCTCTTCAAAATACTTAGTCCATGCCTCAAAAACAAGGATTTATATCATTGAATATGTCAGTGCCATCAAAATTCCAAGTCCGTGAATCATCGTCCATGGACATGTGAGCCAAAATATAAAGTCATGTTATCAATATAAAATTGGCACAATGTAAACATTTTCTGACACAAAACCTCTGAATGACAAGGGCAGGAAACATAAAAATAAAAAACACTGATTGCGGGAGATTGATTCAAGAAGAATATTTTATTGATTGCACTGGTATATGGTGA